ATGATGATCAAAAGCAGTGATACACATTAGGCTAGTGAATGGAAATGCACTATAAGTGCATGGAGCATGCATGGGGCTATCAAACCAACCCAAAACAGTTCTAAGGCGTGTTAAAACAACACCAAAAACCTACTGAGATGGACTCAAAACATGCTAGAAAGACATGCTACTTCATGAGGCATACAAGGCTAGTTTGTAACATTTACACTACAAGTGTATAACGCATGCATGAGGTGACAAAACCAAATCAAAACAGTGGTATGCCATGTCAAAATAACCCCAAATACATGCTAAGATGGAGCCAACATAAGCTTAACAAACATGCTCAAACATGAAGCAAATGAAGTAAGCATACAAAACACAAGGAGAGGGGATAACCCTCTCCTATTTGGGACCTCAAAACACCATTTCCACCACTGAAATTCCTCTGAGTTTCAGTGGTGAGAAGGCCAAAAGGAGGTGGTCCCAATAGCTTAAAAGGAAAGCACAAAAACAAGGCCCAACAAGGCACAAGAGGAGGTAGACCACCCCCAACACCAACAAGGCCTTAAACAAACATGCTAAGGACTAAAAATCAAAACTTTTTGTAGTAGAAAGTTAGGCCTAAATAAGCATGCAAATCGGTCCAAAAGCTTAAACCAAAACAAGGGTTTTAAGGGTTAGAAGCTCACCCTTGTAGAACCACTTTAGAGCAACAACTCCAGCAGCTTTTTTGGATCAAAACCAGTCCAAAAACTCCAAAACCAACCTCAAAGGGCCTCAGCAACAAAAGGGTGGTGTTTGAGTGTGTGTTTGTGTGCAAAAGTGTGAAGAATAGTCACTTTAAGTCACAAAACAAGAGAGAAATGAAGAAGTATAGATATAGATGATATGTATAGCTCAAGCACAATTTTCTGAACCTAAGGCAAGAAGGAGGAGGTTCTCTTTTATAGAGAACCAAAGGTTAAGCTTGTTGAACAAGCTTAAGGCCTAAATCCATCCCTCCATACACGAATAGAGGATGGTTTCTGTGCCCTCCAGCTGTTACAGCTGGCTATAAAATATCTCCAAAAAGGTGCTGGAAAAATAAATAACTATTTTTAAAATTATATTTGTCGTTTATTTTTTAAAAATAAATATTATTCAAATATATAATTATTGATATTTAATTATTTTAATTTTTTATATAAATATTTTAATTAACGAGCCTTAAAAAGTAAATGAATCAGATCATCAAAATTGATCTTAGAATAATCTAATTATGTCCAAATACTGTTTCAAATTAAGATGAGAACTTGGCTCAAACCCTTAGTAGGACAGTTGTGCATCATGGTATTTACCCGAAAGAACACTCACGATTAGTGAATGAATGACTTGCAGCCTAGTTTTAAAATGGAAGAGAGAGAGAGACAGACTGGGTAATTGAGAGAGAGAGAGAGAGAGAGAGAGAGAGAGAGAGAGAGAGAGAGAGAGAGAGAGACTGGGTAATTGATTGAATGATGGAGACAAATCAACATTCCATAAAAGAATTCAAAAGGCATCATTGGAGAATTGGTATTTTCAAGGGTGGGATAGAAGGGGGACCAAAAAACCAAAATTAAGAAGAGAGAGTTGGTCGAGTGTTATGATGGGGATGTTCCGACTTCCAATACACGATGGAAGGATGTGTCATAATTACTATTTTATAATTAGACAAACACAGGTATTAATCTAGCCAATGTATGTTGAGGTCAACTCCATAATTAAAATTAGGAGGGTACAAAATATTGTTTAATATGTTAAAATTATATTGATTTATATTAATTCGCACTGTTTTATTCGCTAATTACGAATTAAATTTTAAAATTTATAATTCGTCTATGAAATTGCTCTGCTCCGCTATAGTTAATATATATATATTTTTTAATCTTTAATAAAATATCAAATCAAAAATGAGTATGAGAGATATTCAAGATGTGAAACTTGTTACAAATTAATAGTTATATATATAAAAAATATTTTGTAAAATTAGTTTGTGTTATATATATGAAAAATATTATGTAAATTAATATTATATATTATGCAAATGTTGATAATTTGTTAAGAACATTCTTCAATCTGCCACAAACTGTCCAAACCATAATTTGGTCATCTATCAATTCGTCATTTAATTTATAATTTTACTTTCAAAGTGTTCGAACATACTGAGCACACTCCTAATTAAGGCCATTCAAGCATGCATTGTCCTACTATATGTGGTTACTATATATATCATGGAGGATGCAACTTTGCTCGAATTACAAACTAACACTTTCTATTTCTTTAAGAATGACCTTGATATCCTCGTGCCCCACGTCAAACAATGTTGAACATAAAACCAACATTATTCTTACTCTTTTGGCGAGAATCTGTACTTCTTTATTAAAGAAGTTAATGATTTGAATCTTTCACTTATGTGAGGAATTTTTTGATTTTCTTCTCAAAATACATAATTAGATATAGTTTCAATTTAAAATCTTCAAAAATCTTCGATCGCTACTGATTACAATGCAAAATTTCTTATTAATTAATGATATATATCATTATGGGATAGTATTGGACAACGTAATTTGTAAAGAATTAGTAATAATGTAGTATTTTTGTTGTTTTTTTGGTTCAACAGGCAAATGTGTCTAGGCTAGCTTACATATAGCTCATCTAATTCTCTCCTCAATTTGATCAAAGGTAGGCTATTCATGCCGGGACTAGAAAATTCACGATAAATTACTTTCTCACAATCTGATCCCAACCCTCATGTAATATTCACTATACTATTATGATGTGAAATTTCTTTAAGTAATTTTTTTTTTTTATTTGATTCATATAAGATATATCCTTAAGTAATATTTGATTGACTAGAATGAAAATAGAAAAAGAGTAGATTTGTTATTCCTTTTTCTTTATTATGAAAGGATATATATCTTAGACTATGTGATTTTGCAAACAAGAGTGGAATAAAGAAAAGAACAAAAAAATAGAGAAAGATGAGGACAAGGGAAGAAGGAAGAACAAAGAGAGCAATGACTCTCTCTCTCTCTCTCTCTCTCTCTCTCTCTTGTGGCTATATTATGATAGATAATATTCATGTGCCTTTAACGTTTTGTAAGTCTTTGTTTATTTGTCTCTTTTAGTATCCTCCTCTCATTTCTGGATGTCCTTTCTCTTTCTCTCTCCTCCTCTTCGTCTTATTATTCAGTGCCCCCATCTCTTGTCCCACAAGCACTTTGTGGTCCACTTTTTTTCACTCCCTTGTTAATCAAACCGGTTTGAAGCCATATAATCCCGGTTCAGATTTTGACCCAATTTCTTGCTTTGCTGGCCTAACCCTACCTAGACACATTTATCATTAGCCAGCCACAGTTTTAGTCCTAAACTACCAAACCCGACTCCAAATCAAAGACTTGTCATAACAATTTGGATAAAGCTAGCTTATTTGTCATCTACTATCACCATTGCCATTACACCTACTCCAATCCCAACCATTAAACTGAGCTCCCACAACCACCATCATTAACTAATCTACTACCTAGTTTGGAATCACTTATCTTAAGACTGTATTTAATTCATAAATTTTGAAAAAAAAAAACAAAAAATATTAATAAAATATGAATGAAATATAATTATATATATGTTTCACGTATTTTTTCTCTCAAGCTTTCTAAATCTCAAATTCATGCACCAAACACAGTGTAAATCTAATTTTTTTTAATTAATTTGTCTTTAGTGAATGCGCTTGATAAATTCTAAACTGAGAATCAGAGCTTCGTGAGTGACCAAAGTCATCCATGAACCGTGACTTGTCGGCAAAAGGATACCGCAAGTATCATTTGCGACAAAGAAGCCCCTTCGATGGTTAAGTCACAAATCCGAGACAAAAGAATGAGAGCAAAGCAAGCCAGAATAGAGATTGTAAAACTACCACGCACAGCCGGAACCATGAGCAAAGGGGTACAAATAAAAAACAATATCTGCGAAATCCAGTAACCTAAAACATTAATTCTAGGTTGTGATATGCCAATTTCTAAAAGTAACATTCATTAGCTTCTTGACAGATCTGCCAAATCAAATTCATTTTGGTATTTATTTGCCACATGCTTTATTAAATCCTAGTATTTCAAGTACGAGTGTTCCCAATTCAACCATTCCTCTATCTTTTGCTATTTGGAAAATGATTTTCCCCCCAAATTTTGTCCCCCCCAAACAGCCCGATTTTTTTTTTTTTTTTTTTTTTTGTGGCCTTTCCCTCTTATATCGCTGTGCTGAAAACAGAGGGAGAAAGAAAGAGAAGATAGAAGAGAGAAGAAGAGAGGAAGAGGAGGAAGATGTTGATAGCGATGATGATGTGTTGAAAACAGAGGGAGGAAGAAAGAGAAGATAGAAGAGAGAAGAAGAGAAAGAAGAAGAGAGGAAGAGGAGGAAGATGTTGATGGCGATGATGATGTGTTGATGGTGATGATGTTGCTATTGATGAAGATGTTCGCCGATGATGCCGATGAAGATGTTCGCCGATGACGATGTGTTGATGGTGATGATGTTGCTGTTGATGAAGATGTTATTGTTGATTATTATTATTTCAAATTTTTTTTTTTTTGAAAATCAACAAAACAGATCAGATCAGATCTGTTTAACAAGTTGCTTATAATTTTTGTTTCAGCTTCATCTCACACAAACAGATCAGATCTGTTTAACATAAATTTGTTCAACGTAATTTTTTTTTCCCCTAAATCAGATTTGTTCATCATCTTGCTTTAATTTTGTGGTGAGTTTGGTAATTTTTAGAGAGAGAAAATAGAGGAAGAAGATGAAGGAGGTTCTGATTCTGTAGAGATGATAGACTTTAAATAGACTTTTGTTTTAACTTCAGTTTTCTGGTTCTGTTCATCATCTTCTCATATAGGTTCTGGTTCTGAAGTTTTTGCACAATCATGAAGTTTTTCTCTCAAATGTTGAGAAAAGAGAGGAACGAAGGAAGATGACAAAAAAAAAATTGGAAAACGACGCCGTTTTTCAAATTCGAGCCATTCGGGATAGCAACTTTTGAGCTACCCAGCAGAACCCTTGCTATTTTTCTCTCAAATTATAACTTTTACAACACCGAAGTGTAGGTACAGGAAAAAGTTGCCTTTCTCATAAAGTAAGAGTAAATGTTCACAGAAGGGCTATCATCAAGCCTTCCTTATTATTTGCAAATAATAAGAGCACCGATCAACTGAGCAAACCTGCAGCAAATAGGAAAAAATGTATCACCAAATCAGACTCTCTCTCTCTCTCTCTCTCTCTCTCCCTCTCTCTTTGTTTGACTGAGTGACGGGCCCCACTTCTCGAGTAATGGGCAATGTTGGCTAATGATAATGTTAGTGTTGCCCATTTGCTCTCCACATTCCGTCACTGCAGTCTCTGCTTCAAATCTCAGGCTAGAGTAGCTCTTTTGCCTTTTGCCTCTCTTGACTGCAAACAAGTTTTATCTGTTAGACACACTAGCAACATTCTGAAAAGGATTTAAAGGAACTGCGTGCATTGCTGAGAGAGAGAGAGACCTGTGCAGCAACAGATCTTTTTGAATCCAAGAACTGGTTGTAAATGCCATATAATCGCTGCTTTTCTGCTTCCGACACAGATGGTCTTGCCTTGGAAGCAACAGAATTCAGAAGACTACGCGTGATGACTGGCATTTTTCCAGGCTTGTCGCTCTCTGCACTGTCTAGAAGGTCATGGACCGCAGCAAGCTGTGCATCAGATAGAAGAGCCTGGAGGTCAGCTCCACTAAATCCTTCTGTCACATAGGCAATGGCTTCCAAGTCAACGTCACTGGCCAATGGTAACTGCATTAATTCCAACCAGCTAACTGATTAAGATGGCTAAAATTTGGGAACAAGTGCTGTTTTAGAAGCAGTCAAAGGCACTAAGGTCATGTTTGATTCACAAGACTAATAGTGAAGTATTAATAATCCTATTAAATTAGTGTGGTATTCACTATCCAATTGGATTAATGTCCATTGGATTAATAATCTCAACGCTACCCCATTACTAATAATCTTACAAATTTGTTGGATTAATTATCCTAAACCAAAATATTAAAACAGACATAGGATAATTGGACTCACGGATTAATAATCCCAATCCCATGCTCTAATCCACCCAATCAAATATGCCCTACGAGAATTGTGAAATAGATGAATACTAAACAGCTCCAGAGACAAACAAAGTTTTAATCAGCAGAAGATAGTAGAGCCTGAGGAAATCCCATTTCCTCGGGCTAATTTTTGACACATGTCCCACCAATATTTATACCAACCAATGTTGCCCCTGAAGAATATTTACCTCCCCGAGGAAATAATAGTCGAGTGGACCTCATTAAAGTAAAATGATGTAGACATATATATATACAGTTACTATTGGTTCAATGGTAAAACCTTGGCCTACCTTAAGGTTGTGGGTTCAAGTCTCAGGACAACCACTTTGTGCATTATGCAAACGATTAGTTGTGTACCTAATTTTTTCCCTCCCAAACACACATTAATATATACTAATTGGACATTGTTTTTATATAAATACAGTTTCGTTCTGGATCTTTTGGATTTTCCCATGAAGTGTACTGTGGATATAACCTCATAAAGCGCCTACCCCAATCTCTGCAAGTATACATTTTAATTAGACAAAGCCTCATGGAAGCTAAAGCTTCACATGTTTTTCTGAAATATAAGCATTTTAATACTTAACAAAAATCAAAACTCTGAAACATGTAACAAACACTGTTAAAATAAATTGATGACTTAATAACAAAAAAATAATGAAATAAAACATGCCCCTCTTGGAGTGGGGGAAATTCAGCGAATATTCTACCTGAAACTCCAATGCTGAATCATTCAACACTAATAGAATTGGTGTTCCAATGCCAGTTCTCTAGTTAGGCCAGGTACTGTTGAATATTTTTCTTGTAATCTGAATGTTAACTCCTTGCCGTTTGTCTTACATGAAAATTTCATTTGAAATGTGATTTTGCGGGAAGTTATTAGAATTTAGCCAAATAGTTTTGGCCTAGTGAATTGAGATGATGCAATGAAGAAATACTTTATGCTTTTAAAATAGGAATTTACTAACTAGGAATTTTATGTCTATATCAAAATTGAGAACTTGGGAGAAGATGACAATCAATAATCTTTTTCACTGAGTTAATGTTAAATTTTCTAGAGGAAACAAAACATAGTAAGTATTTAATTACAAAATTTCTGGTTCCTTGAATTATTGTTAAATTTAGTTAGATTGAACAATAAGAAGAAGAATAGAGAATAAAAGAGAAATTGTATACTGGGATGGGAAGAGAGAGAGTGAATTAGGATTCTCTCCATCATCCTCTTGTATTAATATTGAGGGGTTGTTTAGGGTGTTCTCAATAAGTACACTTTTTGACTTTTTGGACTAAAAAGTTGAGGAAAAAAAGATGGTTGTTTGGGATAACTTTTTGACCTTTTACGAAAAAATGTGTATTAAAAAATTGTATAAATTAGTGTATATGAGAAGCTTGGGCAGAGTAGGCAGTACGGTGGGCAAAGTAGTGTATAGGAGAAGCTTGTCTCCTTTTCGGGCATTGAATTGGACGATGCTGTTTGGCCTGTGGGGGCCCACCGCGGGTCCCGTTTTGCTAATTAGAACCGTTCAATGTATAAAACTCGTTGAGTACTATATGCTTGTAAACAATCACGTTAATCGGATATCGATATCTATCTGATCAGTGTAGTTTTTTGTCAGCCGTTAACTCTAACACCATCCATTTTTTATACAAAACGGATTTGATCATGTAGTTAGCGACATCCGATCAACCTGATTTTTTACAGGCATATATTACTCGAGGAGTTCTACATATTGAACGGTTCGGATTATCAAAACGGGACTCGTGATGGGCCCCCACGGATCGAATAGCACCGTCTTGTTTGCTTCTCTGCCTGTTCCTTTTGTACAAACGGTGGGCAGCTAAAGTACAACTCACATGACATGTGAGTTGTACTTTTTTTTTGTAAAATTATTTTTTTTATTTTTATTTTTGGTGAATAGTGATAACTTTTTAACTTTTTTATTTACTTTTTGGCTTTTTTGAGGTATCCCAAACCAGCCCTAAATTGGTAACTACAAATACACTTCCAAGTTTACATAACACGTGATACTTAATGCCCAACTTGCAAATAATGGGGTGAAAATTCTTACTACCAAGCCTTTTAGTGAATATATCTTCTAACTGACATACAAATCAAAACCTTGCTCAACTTTTTCTTAATAAATTGTCTGTCAACTTCAATATTCTTGGTTCTATCATGTTGAACTATATTATGAGCAATGTTGATGGAACCTTATTTTGAAAAACCATAAACAACATTCAAGAAACAAAAGAAACCCATAAAGCTTCATTTAAGCTCCAATTACCTCAGCTGCTGCCTCAACAGGCTCCTCAGCAGGCCTTTCCATTTTCACTCCAACATCCTCCGTAGAGTAGTCACCGTGGACCTCCATCAACTTGCCAAGATCAAACTTGGGAGCTTTCAAGTTCTTGACTTTGGGAATGAAGACATTCTGCAGAGGGTAGATGCTTGAAGTTGTCTTCTCAATCTCCCTATCAATTGATTCAGGAATAAACTTCTGGACCAAATCCTTCAGATCACAAGATTGCGCCTGGTTTACCATGATCAGAATATAGATCTTTCAACTAAACCTAGAGCCACATAAGCTCCCAAATTTCATGAGCCAAGCTGCCACATAAGCTCGCAATATAGATCTTTTAGTTTCTTGAAACTTCTAATTTTTAATGAAAAATTAAGTAATTTTTCTCTTTTCAATGCATCTCAAATTATGAACAACTTTGCTTATGTTATGAAAGTAGAAAGAGAAGAGAAAAGAGAAAGTATATATTGAATTGAATAATGAAATACAAGAAGCATGTATTTATAGGCTGAGAAGAAACGTAGATAAGTATAGAAAAGGAGATAAAGATACATCAGAGATAATTATAGAAAAAGAGATGAGATACATCTATAATACAGATAGATAATTATAAAACAATCATATATATATATCTAACAGCTTATCTTCACAAATTTATATTTGTAATTACAGTTCGTCCTGAGAAATTTGCTAAAATAATTCTCTTTTTCTTGTTTGTTGGGTTCATTTAACAGTTTTTTTCTTATTAGTATTTTATTGACAATTTCTTGCAGAACCAATTACTTGCAATGAATTACATACATGAGGGAACAGATGATAACATATGGGTTAAGAACAATTTTAAGTTGAAAGATTACTCAATTAATGATATTCGTGTCAATCTTTATCAAGTGAGAATTGGCAACTGAATCATAAAACTGAGGCAGCAGTGGGAGTGTTGGTTGCTGTTTTGTTCTGTTAATGCTGGTGCTATTTTCTTTTTATTGTTTTCTGTTGGTGTCTTGCCAACATTTAGTGTGTCAACCTAGTTGAGATATGTTCCACTAGCAATGATGCAATGTTATCACCAAACTACTGGATTTGAAAACAATTCAAATTTGCAGATGTTATAATAGCGGTTAGTGTTTTGATAATGATACTTCTTCAACTCCGGCAACGTTCACGCATTCCATAGCTATAGCAAACATGCAATTTCCAACACATTCTGTATTGAATAATTGCATACCATAGCAAATAATAAAGCCTTTTGTCTTGAGTACAATTCTATAGCACAATAAATGTGTTCTTTAATACTATCAACTATTCTCTTAGCCCTTCTGTCTCTTTCTATCCATGCAGCTGTAACAGCTTTAATAAAAGACCTTATTCTATCCTTTTACAATTGTTTGAGGAGCAAAAACTAACAAAATAGTTACTAAAGCTAGACACAGCTTAGTTGGGCCAATTGTAGAAGACTTGCATAGTGCCTATCCAGGCCTATTCAATTCAGGAATAAAGGCTATTTCTCATGAATGATGCAAGACAACATGCTGCTGTCCTCTTCAAGTCTTTTGTTGGCCTTGGTTGGATTCTGTTCCACTTATTTTGAAGAAGCTCTACTTCTGTATAGATTGTACCTTCTTTACTTGAGTAAGATATATGTGTGTGTGCGTGTATATTCAGTTTGGTTTGGGACCTTGAGTAAACTGACCCTGCAATCCATAGCCAAACAGCCTTTTTTTTTTCTTTTTTGAAGTCAAACTTTGAACTGGGAGAAAAATAGAAGCACTGATGAACAGAGCCAAAACAAGCCAATCAGGTTTTGGTTCATATTCTAGCTTTCACCAAGAATATGTAGAATGTGGCCCTTGTAGAGGTCAGTACTCTGATTTCTTTGGGTGAACTAACACTTCAACTAATAACTGATATCACATATGACATACCAAGGCCACAGCTTTTAATTCAAGGTAGTGGATTTTCTTAATTGCAACTTCAAACTGCACTAAGTTCTCCATTTTTCTGAGTTCCCATTTGGGAACATTTCAGCTGCGTGCTATTTTTCTTTCTGCATTGGACAGTTGAACCTCACCTAATATAAACATATGAGTCTCCTTTCCCTTCCAAAGATGAGGCTTATTTTTAAGGAGATAAATTTACAAATGTTGGCAACCAGTATGCTGCTGCTGAATAAGAGTTGTGGAACTTGCTATAATGGCCAAGCAAATTGACTGTATGATCATAGTCTGGGTGAGTGCAATTTCTGCGAGCTGCTCCAGAATTTGGTCATAATCCTATAGCTTACCTCCAACTCAAGAATCAATATGAGACATGCCCTTAGAATCTCCCATGAGTTGATTGATTCTTCCTTCACTTGTAAAAGTTTTGACTAAATTTTTCTAATTTTTAAAATTGTATAGTCGAAAAATGGACCTAAAAAGTACATAGATAATTTTTTTTTTTTTTAAACTAAAAAAGAAAGAGAATATTTTGGTCTTATCACAAAAGAATTAAATTCATTCCAAGCAAACATTCATTACTTGTTTTGATTTCTATGCAAGTGGAGGTAGTTGGCTTCATTTAATACATTCTAACTAGTGCCACTTGTCAACAAAACCCCTCTAAAAAATTAGTAAAATGGTAAAAGCTTGGCACTAAGAGTGAGAACAAGGGTTTGAGTACAAGTGCAGCTGGGTAGGCACTCTGCAATTAATGCTGAAGGATAGGTCTATGATTAGTTCACCTAGAACTAGGAATGGCCTGTTTTATGGATCATCTTGAGGGGCCTAACTGTCATTATTATGAACTAGTAAAACCTGCTTCATGGTTAAAAATTCTTTTGCATGGTTTTTAATTCTTGAATGTTATGGAAGTGTAAGCCTACATTATGTTCGTGTAAATTTCATTTTACTGATGTGTATTCTTTTTTGTAAGATTTCTGATTTGAAAAGTAACCAAATGCAGCTATGACGAATCAAGAGTTAATAGATAATGGAAATCGGACGATGGATGAGGCTGATCAAGCCATTGATAGGTCAAAAAAGGTTAGTATATCTATTCTGCTCCAGTCAACTCAACAAGCCTTATGCCAATTGCCTTTGGTTGCTTCGTATGTCTATCTTCTCCAGCTAACTCTATGTAAAACTATAAGACTTAAAAAGTCCAAACTTGGCTTGACCCACATGTAATTGTTTTGGAGCCTTCAATTTGATTCGAGTCACTCTTTTATGCCTATGCATTAGTTAACCTACAATGCACAAGGGCAAAGCCATCTCAAATGGCATTCCCCCACTTTATCTTCAATCTGTGCCACTACTAACATAATTTGATTTTAAGTTTTATGTTGGCTTTTTGGTTACCCACAACCCTCTTCCCCCTCTCCGGGCTTGGGATGGGTTTTCTGAAACCCCTCTTGTATCACTAATGGCACCTGTTGCTGTTACTACTACTACAGCTTGGTGCTTTCCTTCAGAAACAATCATTTGATCTTTTGCTGGTTTGCTTGTATCAATTTTGGCTAACTCAGTGAGGTTCAGTTATCTGTCTTCGAGTGGTATAGGAATCATTGGACATTTAGTTTTATCTTTTTTATTTACTTAGGGAGACTGTTATTCTGCAGTAAAAAAATTGCATTGGTAGCCCCCTCCTTCACCCATGTGTCTCACAGTGACACATGTGAGAGAAGGCTTTGGATTAGCCCCCTCCTTTCTTTATTATTGATATAATTAGCTGCCTTTCCTTTTGTACTTTTGACGATAGGCTGGCAAGTTAACCAGAGTTAGTTAACTTTTGCTACATATTGTTGAAACACCTACATTTGGCAATGCCCAGAAAGCTAGCACGTATCTAAAAGTATGCATTTGTTATCTCTGTCTTGATATTCTAAGTTACAATTAAAAATGATAAAAAAGAAAGTTATGTTGCGAATAATTGTAGCTGACCTATCTGAAGACTAAAATTTTCTCAACTTGTGCGATGAACTTGTCTGTGGTTAGAGGTGCTCATGGGTAACAATTGTTCTAGTTTACATTTTTTTTTTCTATGCCACATCATATACCTGCTAATGTACCTCCAGTTTTTAAATTTGTTTGGCACATATTTGTTTGGTAGTGCTGGCAACATCTTCCTGTCAATCTCATTTGGTTTTGGGTCTTGGAAGCAATTTGGTGTGGAATTAAAAAGAAATAAATAAATGATGATGGTTTTTCTATCCAATAACTTGAGCCTGAATCCTGATAAAGATTTTTCTGGTGTTACCGATGTGAAGCAACACCACCAAACTATGCACATTTTGTTTAATATATGTAAATTAGTGACTCTCCCAAATGTGCCCCACCAAGAGAGAGAGGGGGAGGAGGCGGTGGCAAAATTACTTGTAAATCTTCAAAAGCTTATTTTCCAGGTTCTTTGTTTTTTGTAATAGGTTGTCCATGACACAATTAATGTTGGAACCGATAGGGCAGCAGCTCTGAAGGCACAGTTACATTGTTAGACTAATTTGAGAAAGAAAGTTGACAGCTTCTAAAATTTAGGTGTGAGAATTGAAGCATCATACTTCTTTTATGTTTAGACTGAACAAATGAGTAGAATTGTTAATGAGTTGGACTCTGTCCATTTCTCGATCAAGAAGGCTTCTAAATTGGTGAAGGAAATTGGTAGGCAGGTCAATCTCTAAATTATTCACATCTCTCTTCTCTGATGTAATTAATTATATTGTAAATGATTTTTTCTTGGTTTTCTTTTTGCAGATGCAACCCTTTTGAGTACATGATGATATTTTCACATATCGATATTGGAACTTATACTCTTATTTATGTATTTATTGAAATAAATATCCAATGTTTTGCATTTTTTGTAAGCTTAAAATTAATTATATTGTAAATTTATTTATTTATATTTTTTTTTGCAGATACAACCCTTTTGAGTACGAGATGATATTTTTGCATGTTGATATTGTAACTTACAATCTTTTTTGTATTTATTTATTTTTTGAAATAAATATCAAATTTTTACATTTTCTGTAAGCTTAAAATTAATTATATTGTAAATTTATTTATTTATATTTTTTTTTGCAGATACAACCCTTTTGAGTACGAGATGATATTTTTGCATGTTGATATTGTAACTTACAATCTTTTTTGTATTTATTTATTTTTTGAAATAAATATCAAATTTTTACATTTTCTGTAAGCTTAAAATTAATTATATTGTAAATTTATTTATTTATATTTTTTTTTGCAGATACAACCCTTTTGAGTACGAGATGATATTTTTGCATGTTGATATTGTAACTTACAATCTTTTTTGTATTTATTTATTTTTTGAAATAGCCAACTTATAAAGATTCACACACAATCAGAGTATACATATGGGGCTTACATGTGCGGAAGCAATAAATTTAAATCTAAGTGGTCCATAAGAGCTGTGCATAGGTCAAATGAAATGACATACATACCAACATGGTTTACAACTTGAATAATAATAAAATAAGGTATATAGATATACATACGTATGATTTTGTGAATGTGGATGTGGATGTGGATGTGGATGTCGATATATTTTGTTTTAGAAAATATTAATAACTTGTACTGTCACGACCCCATTCCGCCCCTAGTAGAATGGTGTTGTGATGGCTAGTAATCCGAGATTACTAAAGGCCAACTTATAAAGATTCACACACAATCAGAGTATACATATGGGGCTTACATGTGCGGAAGCAATAAATTTAAATCTAAGTGGTCCATAAGAGCTGTGCATAGGTCAAATGAAATGACATACATACCAACATGGTTTACAACTTGAATAATAATAAAATAAGGTACGTGTTACATCTTGATCAAAAGGCTTCTCAAGCCGACATATACAAAAGACGGGAAACATAAACATCCTGATCAAAAGCTAAGAAGCATAATTTTCAATATGCTAGCCAAAAATATAAACCAAAACATCTTGCAAATAATCATCTAGGCGTCACCGCCTTCAAGATGCTAGCCAAAAACATAAACCAAAACATCTTGCAAATAATCATCTAGGTGTCACCGCTTTCTTGCTCGTCACCTACATATATATATGGAGAGGGTGAGCTTGGATACTCAGTGAATGATATTAGTAATAAAGGTTTAAATGAATGATGTCCGAGATCTTTATCAAACAATACATAGCATATCTTGCACAAATCCAAGGAATGAACCAAGTTCATCTGTCAAATCTTTCAAAATTTTAAGGGATGCTTACTAACATCAATATAATACAAGGGAAGACATTCCGGACAAACCCGCGCGGTAAACCGTCGGTTGCAAGACAAAGGAGATATCTCAAACAAACGCGCTAGTTGCATTATAGTCCCTTAGCACTAAAGACTTTCCAAGACAAACGTGCTAGTTGCATTATAGTCCCGTAGTACTAAGGACTTTCCAAGAATGTCATCAACACAAGATAATACTTGATACAAAAACTAGGGATAATCATTCATGCTTGGTCAAATATTTTCTCAAAACAAAGCAAAGCTTTATCAAACTTTATAACATAGCTTTATTAAAAATATCACTCACATAGCTCTTCGGGTGTAGGGATTAAGGCAAGAATCTAAGACCTACAAATACATGGCAAAGTCCACTGAATGCACTTCAAGAAGACAAGAAGAGATGCTCAAAGATGGGTATGAAATACATTCTTAAAACAAGCTTTTCATGAGTGTAAATGATCCGGGCATTTCTTTCAAAACTAAGTCAAGACAAAGTAAGACATGTGCTGGGAGTTAAAACACTGTTTCTCATCTTGGGAAAACATGCTGGGTACCAACCAGGTCTTGGCCGAGGTCCCACACCTCTTGGCCGTGGTGTGGTCCCGATGACCACATTCAGGCAAATGGAGTTTGGAAATTCTGGGTTTCTTTTTGAAGAACATGTACATGAAGAACATGAATGCTAAAAATCATAACTTATTTATTCAAAATTTGAGATTTCATGAGATGAGTTCGAAGACATGAACCTAGGCACTCATACTTGAAGATCTTATGAAAATAAACACAAAAACATGAATCTTGATACAAACTTTCGGATCTAAACATGGTTTTATTTCAAGAACACAAGAACATAATTTTCTCTTTCTAAAACAAGCTTTAAATCAATGCATGGCTCATGAAAATGCTAGATCATGCAATGTGATTAGATGAACATGGAGAACAACAAGAGTATATCAAGATTCTAACCTCAAAACACGGATCTAACGGCTCAAGGTGTGAAGATCAAGCTTGGAAATCTATTCTCACTCTAAGAACTCTTCTTCCTCTCTTCCTAGAGCTTCTCTCTTTTCCTAGGACAAAGATATAACAAATGATATGTTTTCTTTACTGCCGACTGACTTAACTCTCTGCTAGGACACGTGGCAACGGCTGGTTGGCTCTTCTCAAAAAGGTGACTGACTGACAAGACGAGCATGAGAAAGTGTATACAACAAGTAATGTGACATGGGTACTCTAACAAGGCAATGACCTCAGATCGAGACATAAGCTTCGTCAAGTAACGTCTCAATGATCTCGGCAAGTAACGGCCCAGCTGTGCCACACCTCTGTCTAGGTCATACCAGTTCAGGAACAAGATCACTAGGTGTAAGGGTCAAAGATCTAGGATGTCTAGATGATAACATCTCGGCCTAGATGATATACATCTCGGCTAATATGCCAGGGTGAAGGTGGAGGTCAACCAAAGTAGTTTCAAGATGGTCCTAGGTGTAAGAGGTTCGAAGGCGTGACCTAGGCTTAAGATGACCTCGGCTTAACACACACCAAGCAAGAAACAAAGCATGCAAGTAACACTCTGACAAAACAAATCAAGGTCCGAAAAATGCAAGTTTAAGCAAGACGAAGCTCATGCAAATGCACGTGAGCATGTCTAAGACAAAGTGGGGGTTGTTACATGTACAGGGAATAAATTAATAAAATATATATTGATTTTATGAAAATAATTTTATTGTGACAATAATCACCGTTGCTAATGTAATCATTATTTCCTTACATTTTATTAGCGACGGGTTAACCTGTTGCATATACATATTAGTTCAAATCTTTAGCGGCAATTTAAATTGTCGCAAACATGGTATTAATTTAATTCACCTTTTTTGCGAAGTATTAGACCGTCGCCAATAATACTTTTCGTGACGGTTTAAACTGTTGCAAATACAATATTAATTTAATTCTTCTTTTTTTGAGACATTTTCGACCGTCGCTAAAAAAGTTTTGGCGATGGCAACCAACATTGTCACTAAAAGTGAAGTTTTTTCCCTTTTTCTGTGTCAGGTGAAACCGTCGCAAAAACAATTAATTAGCCGTCGCTACAAGAAAGCGACGGTTTGTAACCATTGCAAATTCTTTTTGTCACGGCCCCTTCCGCCACCCCTCATTTCCCGTTACTACTACGTCGCAAAAAAGAGAGATTTAAGATGTGAATTTGTTACAAATTATATATATATATGAAACATATTATGTAAAATTAGAAAATATATAAAAAAAATATTATACAAATTAGTGTTATATAATATATAAATGTTTGATAATTGATTAAAAATCTACCCAAAATCCCCTAAATTGTGATCTGTTAATCCGCCATTCAATTTGTAATTTACTCTCAAATAGCCCGAACCAAACCACGCACAACCCTAACTACAATCCCCACAAATTACTCAGTCACAGCCCCTCTCTATGTTTCTCTCTCCTCCCAGTATGCTCTCTTTTCACTCTTCTCTGTCTTCACCAGCTCCATTACCGCCTTCTTGATCACCTGGCTCGCCTCCTTCATACTCCTCCTCGATCTTGGCCCACTCTTTTCAAACCTCCATTAACATCTCTTCCTCTTCATCATGATCATCGCATGTCTCCCAATCGGAACCAATCAACAACAAAATCAAAACTAGGAAAACCATCGAAAATCTTAGAGAAATCACGAAAACCCACAAAATTGCCTCCCAATTTCGCTTCAGAAATTGTAGTTTCAAATCATCATAATCAAAACCAAGAAAAACCATCTAAAATCTCAGTAAAATGGCCTTGCAACATTCACCGGAAAATGAAGTAGGTAATTGTCCCCCTTTTTTTTAACAACTCTGTACATGCACTGCTCCACCCCTCACTGCCACTGACTTCAAATTTTTTGAACTTATCCTCACTCTTATTTCTTAATTTATATTTAATTGGACACTCGCTCCATAAATCAAAGTCTCAATTTTGTTCGATCAAAAGTCCAAGCGTTTTTGTACTTCGCCCAAAAGGACAAACTTAAACATAATGACCAAAATAGGGAGAAATAGCATCACTCTACTTTTATTTTTATTTTTTATGGAGATACAAGAGTTTCATCTTCATTTACTTTTACTTTTATAGTTGAAATTATCTACTTCGGAAAAAACTGCCAATATTGCTGAAAAATCTCCCAATGCTTTCTTTCTTTACTCCCCTCAAATTTAATGTTATTTCATTTTAGAACCTAGGTCAAAATTTTTATGAAATGATTTATTTATTTATTTATAATTCTATAGTCGGTTCATTAGACCAACTAATTTAGAATACCAGTTTCACCATCCACTAGCAGGGGCCCCAATTAAAGTCGAGATAAAGCCCATATGGATTGACTCGAAAAAATTATTTACACTTAAGAAGTTTTGAACTTGAGACTTTAACAGAAGCACACCTCTAGAAAATGATTACTTAGCCCATGCAAAGAATGAAAAAATGAATTAATCACTTATAATATTTGTTTATTTTGTTAATAAAAATAATGTATTAGTTGGTCATTCTAAAAATAATGAAATATGAATTTCATAGCATTTAAATATTAAGAAAAAGTGATAGTTTTGAAAAAATCAAGTTCTAGGAAGCAATATTTGTTCTTGAAAAAACAAGGAAA